CGATGTCTTGGAACGTTCCCCTAAAAGAAGATGGGCATTTCTCAACAGAAATGCCCTCTTATTCAAGATTAACTTTTTCAAAAGGAGCTTAGCTCCAGATTTGCTTGCTGAATGAAGCTGACTGGCAAGAAGGGAGAGGGTCTTCCAAGGCTTCCTTCTGCCTTTCAGAGGCATTCATTCTAACACGGCCCTGCCTGGAAAATGGTAGCCACTGCCCATGGGTGGCTTCCCAAACATAAGGAGCTTACGTGTTACACGTGATTTAACATAGCACCCAGCTGCTCTGTCCCAGAAGCCCACATAGCTAACAGGAACCACAACAGGTTGCTGAGGACACTGGAGCCCTCCAGCCCAGGACAGAGCTCCTGCTGGACAGCACTGGCTCTACAGGAAGGTGCGTAGCGCGCTTCTCTGGAGAGCCACCATTCCAGTCTGCTGTTCCTCAGCACCACCTCTCTCTGGACTCAGGCCTCACAGCACACAATGGCTTCTAGGCTCAAATTGCTCCTGAGCTGCTAGCTGCCCTTCTACAGCTGTGCTTTCCTCCCCTGGGGAGCTCAGGGAGAGGCAGGGGGAGAACCCTAGGTAACCCTCCCTCCTCACAATACTTCATTTCTCTTAAAAACATTTACATGCAATGTGTCACACCAGCCTGTGGAGCTGTGGAGTATAGACCCTGAAGCCACAGGGACTGGGTGTGAATCTCAGCTCTGTCTTTGGCTTTTACCAAGCGAGCACAGCAAAAATAACTGGCTCTGAGAGCCCTGCTGCTCTTCTGTAAAATGAGCTTAAGCTGTTTAGAAGAATTAAATAAAACTGTATGTAGAATGTATTCTGAAAACACCCAGCACTGATAGGTACTGAGTAGAGCCAGAAAAATAGTAACTACCAAATGTAAGCACCCTCCAAGGCAGAGCTGCTTTGGTCTCTACTCTGTACATCATAATCTTGGCCTTGAGACAAAGTCAGTGGGCAATAAACACTCACTGATATGAACTGTTCATGCATTAAAGGACTTTAGTACTGCAAAGCCCAGGCACAAGAGTTGCTTGAGCCCAGGAATTAAAGACCAGCCTGGGCAACATAGCTGGCTGGAACAAAATCCTGGCTTATGACCCAGGGCCTGCCTACTCCTCAGTGTCCCAGCAGATGCCACCTATGAGGGATGGTGGGGCAAGGGAGGCAGCTCTGAGGGCACTCACCGGCACTACTCTCAGGACAGTATTTGACATTTAATAAAAATTCCTGTTTGCTTTGTCTCAGCTTTTATGAGTCAACATAATATACTCCACTTGGTTCCAAAATATTATGAACCAGCTCATATGGTGGAGAAATTAAACCACTAAAAGGTCAAAGGCTGAACACTGCATAGTCAAATTGGTAAAAAGTGGAGAGGATTAATTTGGGGCATAGGCAGCCTCTAAAATCACCAAGTAGCTTTCACAAGAAGAGTCTTATTTAAGACAATCTGATATTTTCTGAAAAATATTTCTCTCCCTGTTCTGTACTTCAGGAACTTGGGCTGATGTACTAATGGGTTCTTTGTTACACCCAGGATATTCTTGGGACTTTTAAGAAAGAGTGCAGGATCTGAAAGTCAAATGGAGCTGGGTTTGGTTCCTGATCAAGCAACTGCTCTACAATCTTGAAACAGTTACTTAATGCTCTTGGTCTCAGCATTCCCATCCAATAAGTCAGTGAAAGTAAGAGCTACTCTTATTGCAAGGACAGATTAATTGAGAAGAAGAACGTAAACAGCCTATCTATAATTTGAGACACAAACACTGAACACAGTGTCAATCTCTCTTTAGCCAAATAAAACTGTTGACTAAATCATCAGCCTTTCCCTTTCCACCCTATACTCTTTTGTTGTGCCTCTCTAAGAATGTAAATGGACACTTCATACATTTGGGAACCCATACTTCTCAGATTGGTTGAGACAGAAACAAGTCAATATCTACTAACCAGAAGGGTTTGTATTTGCTCTGCTGTACTCATGGTGATTTTAGGTAGATTCAAATGAAAAAGAAACTCCTCATGCACACTCTAGCCCCTTCCCTTCCTCACCATACTCCTGGACCTTACTCTCGCCCAGCCCATCAGCCACCTAGTCGCATTCACTTCCCATTGGTAATTAACAATAGCCCAAAACAGTATTCCTAGGTTTATCAACATCTCATTGATTAACATCTAAATGTGGTTCTATGTATATTTACAATTTGGACCAGGCTGTAAGTGCGTCTTTCCTTCTCTAGAGACAATCAAACCAGAAACTGCGTACCTGGGATTCATGATCATTACCTGACTTTTAGCCGCTTGTCAGTATTTGGGGCCATTTTCACATCAAAGTTATGCTATTCCAAATAAAATAACAATCAACTTCCTATTTATCTTTTGTTTGTAAGCCTAATATTTAAAATACCCTTGTGTTAGTACAATAAACCTAAATTTTAAGAGTTTATACATATAACTGACCAAATTAATTTGGCCTAGTTAGTAACGTCATATTATACCACTTCTGCCTCACTAAATACACTCTAAAGACAATCAAGCTATAGTAGTTTTCAGAAAATGTAACATTTTGAAGATATACAAATGACCAACCAAAAATAAAAAATTAAAAACCTCAACATCATTAATCTCACAAATGCAAATCAAAACCACAATGAGATTATATCTCATTTCAGTTAGAATGGCTATAGTTGAAAATACCAAAAGTAACAAATGCTAGTAAAGATATGGAGATAGGAGACCTTTTATATATTGAACATGCTAATATAGCCATTATGGAAAACAGTATGGAGCTTCCTTAGAAAACTAGAAACAGAACTACCATATATTTAGCAATTCCTTTACTGACTATATAACCAAAGGAAAACATTATTGTGTTGAAGGCATAACTACACTCTTATGCTTATTGCTACTTATAAATAGCAAGGATATGGAAACAACCTAGGTGTTCAGGGACAGACGAATGGATAAATAAGATGTGGTATATACAGTGGACCCTTGGCTTACAGATTCAATTAATTCCCAAGGGCAAGTTGGTCAAATGAAGGCTCAGGTTCCTCTACACAGCCTTCAAAATCTCTCCCTGTACACAGGAAGATCTCAGTGTCCTCAGAAAGACATCAGCCCAGGATTTCTCAAGCCACACAGGAAAGGATGTTGTAATGTTCCTTCCAGAACTCTTTAAGGGTTAAATCTGTATCTGAGACCATCTGGAAGCACAAATATCTGGCATTCATGTCATAAACCCAGACTTTGTTCGTAATTTAAAACAAAAATTCTGGTCATAACCCAAATTGTTCGTAATTTCAGGCCGGTCATGATTTGAGGGTCCATTGTATATGAAATAGAATAATATTCAGCCACAAAAAACAAAGCCCTGTCATTGTTGGTCACATTCATGAGCATGAAGGACTTTGTGCTAAGTGAAATAAACCAGGCTCACAAAGATGAGTGCCTTAGGCCGGGCGTGGTGGCTCACGCCTGTAATCCCAGCACTCCGGAGGCAGGAGGATGGCTGTGAGTTCAAAACCAGTCTGAGCTACATAGTGAGTTCCAGGTCAGTCTCAACTACATAATGAGACCCTGTCTCAAAAAAACAAAAAAACAAAAAAACAAAAAAAAACAAAACAAACAAACAAAAAAAACAAACAAACAAAAAAATGAGTGCCTTATGCTGTCCCCTATGTGAAAACTGAGGAAGCGATCTAGAAGTAGAGCACAGACCGTGACAACCAGAGGCTGGGAAAGGTCTGTCGGAGTGGGGAGGAGAGGGTGGTTTTGGGGAGGACTACAGCTGGAGAGGAGGAATCAGTACTAATGCTCTGTTCACAGTAGGATCACTACGTCAGACAAAATTAATCATGCATTTCAAGATAGTAGAAGGGATTTCAAATATCCGTGACATAAAGAAATCACTGTTGCAGTGATGGATATGTCAATTACCTTCGTCAGATCATTTTATAAATATAACAAAAACCAACTAGCTCACAGGTACATATAATTATGTTAAATTTTTTACAAATTAAAAATAAATTTAGGTAAATATCCCTTTATGGAAAACCAGTTCAATCAAATAAAAATATAAAATAAATAAATAAATAAGGAAAGTGCAACTTTCTACACTTGGTTTTGGCCTAGTAATCCCATGTGTGGGATCTCAACCTATATTATAGTTTTGCATGTGTGAAATGACAGATGTTCATATTATTAACTACAGCAGTGTTCCGATAGACTGAAAACTGAAAATAACCCAAATGCTTATCTAGGAGGAACTAGTTAAATAAATGGTGCACTGATATAAAGAAATCACACAAAGAGGAAGAGGTGCTCTGTTTACTGAACTGCAAAGACCTACTAAGGGACAATGTTAAACAAAAAAAGCAAGAAATAAAACACAGACATGTACACACATTTGTATTTACATAGAGAAACTTCAGAAAAGAAATCAGAAACCAGTTAGTAATATAGCTTACAATGCTGAGTTGAAAGTTTGTCAAATGGGAAACAGGTATATGAAGATTACTTATTCAGTATTTTTAAAATACTTTGCCTAATGAACTATGTAATATAAATATATCTATATAAATTTAATTTCTACTAAAATACGTTAAAAACTAGCTAGTGACAAAACGCAATTTCATTCCTTCATAACTAAAACAGCCCATTACAAGATGCTATGCTGTCATTGCCCATGATTCTTCTTCCTCTTCTTTGGCATATCACGTACATCCATATTAAAGCACAAAGTGTGTGTGTGTGTGTGTGTGTGTGTGTGTGTGTGTGTGTGTGTATCACATTTAAATTAATAAACTAAAAGAGAAAACTTTTAGAGAAAGACAAAGTATTTGTAAGGAGCTCCACAAATTCTATTCCATATATTTTATTATTTTCACTGCACTGTAAACCCTGTAATTTCCCATTGTTTGTTTAGAGTCCTTAATGCATTTTTCCCAGAAGGCTTGCTTCCTGGGCCTTCCAGAGTGCCTCACCTTCATAGGTACCAACTTCCAGAAGAGTCCCACTCTGCTCCAGGTCCAAGAATTCCTTCACAGTCAGAAAATTGTAATCCACCCCAGGCACTTCTCCTTCTCTGGGAGATCGGGTTGTGCCTACAGCAGAAAAGACAAAGGCACAAGAAGCCATCAGGCCACCAGAACAGGAAGTCCCACATCCAGGTGCAATTACCTTCCCCTGCTGAGTAAGCTACCTTATCTGCCAATCACCTACCCACACAAGGACCTGGGAGGGGCAACTCCCTTGTCACAGAACAACACCTCAGGTCCCCTCCAGTGAGGAGCCCACACAACTTTACCACTTCTTACACTGCACTGAATTAAATGGGTGAACTGGCTGTTACACAGACAACATTCACAGACAGCAGCTTTTAGTACTCAAGTAAATACCACAGTTACTCACCCTAAGGGCAGAGTCTAAGGAGTTTGTATTTCTATCACAGGCCCTAAAATCCTTCTGCTTCTCATTACATCTGGCAAGTTCCAATGTAATAACCCCTTTGAAGGAATGACACCCACTGCATAAACGGATCACTAGAGAAACAGGGCTGCTGGAGATCTGTGCTTGGACATCTCCCAGGGGTAAAAACACTGCTGTTCTCCATGTGATTAGTGGGCTCAGTAAAAACTGGCCACCCATAAGTTCTGTCTACAGAGGAAGGATATTTGTGACCCTAATTACAGTATTCATTTTTAAAAAGATCTGATGTTACAGAAAGCAGGCTTCGGGCAGAGTAGAGGGAGGTGGGCAATTATAGAAGCAAGGAGACTAGTTGTACAGCTGTAACAGTGTCCAGGAGTGAGATACTCAGTGTGTAGACTAGAGTAATAGGATACAGGTGGTAAGGAAGTAGTCAATTTTCTACTCTAAAACATGAATATGTTAAATAGCTGCAATGTTATCCATAGAATAGACTATTAAAACAGTATGTCAACTGACCTCATCATACTAGCTACATATTTTGAAGACACAAATAACAGAACTTGCTAATGGATTACATGCAGTATGTGTGGAGTAAGAATAAAGAATGGCTTCTTAGGATTTGACCTGGGCAAATGGGCTGTGCCATTTATAAATATTGAGAAAACCGAGGGAAATAGTTTCAGGGGGAGGGAGTCAAGAGATCAAGAGTTCAGTCCGCAGATGTTTTAAGGTTGAGATTTTTCAGGGCACAGAGGTGAAGAACAAACTGATGTGGTAAATCTTAACTGTTAGAGTCAAGGTGGGACAGAAATGTAGGAGTGATCAGTTGACCAGCGAAAGAAAATTGGAAGGCAGAGAAACCAAAGAGACAGTACAGAAAAGGGAGGGTTGAAGTTTGGACTGGACACCAAGATGTTCCAATTTTTAAAAGCTATAACTAGGAGAAAGATTTTAAAAGAAGACCAAAAAGCAGCAGCCAGCCAGGCTGGAGCAAAGGCAGAGGTTGGAGCCAAGTTGCCACGAAAGGATCTGTCCTAAATATGTTCTACATGGCGACTCTCTTATTCAGCTTCTATATTCAAATTCCAATATCTTAACCCTTTAAAAATGAGGCTAAAATAAAACTAAACAAAAGATCTGTTGGGCCTTTGAAGTCTTCCTAGACCAGACATTGTTAGTTTTTCCCCTTCCTTCTACAGACATCTTTTTCAACCATGTTTTCACATCCCATTTGCCAGATTTACTTTAATCTGTAATTTAACAATCATCACTGGTTCTCAATTTCCTGAAAGGATTTTAAATAATCAAGAACTTGAAAAATGCTACATTTTATAGGAAAAATAAAACTAGCAGAGACGTCATTCCCATGTAAGTAAATATGCTTCACATGGCCTCTGAGCTGCAGGGGAAGGAGTGGGTAGGGGTGAGTACCCACCCACAGGCCTCCAGGGCTTATCACCCAGACAAAACCACTGCACGCTGCGGGAGCAGGGGTTCACTCCCAGTTACTCTCAGAGCAGCCTGAGCTGGGCCTGCGCCAATGTACCCAGCTCCATTCAACAACGTGGGAGAGAGGACTAAGGGAGGGAACCCGCCTCCTCTTTTCTTGTAGCAGAATGACAGGCTGCTGCTGGACACACGCCTGACAGATGGCATTTCAAAGGGTTTTCAGGAGCCATCTGGGGTGGGTACAATTATTACAAACCACGCCTCCACAAAGCCAGAAGGGTTACTTCCTAACAAAAGAGAAGTAAGACGAATTCTATCATATTTCTCAGGGGCAACACAAAAAAAAAAAAAAAAAAAGAAAGAAAGAAAAAGAAGGTACCAGGCTGACAGAGGGATGGGTTGTTTGCAGCCCACAGTACTTTCTTCTGTTTGTGTAGCTGGAAATCAAGTCAAAAATATCTTGTAGCTATTAGCTTTCAGATAAGAAATACAGCTCTTCCCCTCTTCAACAAGAAAAGGGAAAAATAGGAGTATGAAACACTGGGAAAAGAATAATGGCTTCTATTTCTTGGGTATTTACTTATGTCCCAGGCAAGGTGTTAATATTTAATATTATTGAGCTTAATCTTCACAAGAGAATAGAAGTAAAATTTGATATTATATTTATTTTACTGACAAGGAAGCTATGACTCAGAGAAGGAAAGTAACCTGCCCAAGATCACCAGACAGGTGGGCAGAGCCCGACCGCGGTGTCGATGGTGTGACACCCCGACTGGCAGCCCCATCCCATGGGGCCACTGAACAGAGGTGCTTGAGACTGAGGAACTGAATTTATCTCTTTAAATTCATCAAGCCTCATGTGCCTGATGGCAGCCACGCTATCCAGCATGGTTCTCAGCCATGAGGGCATCTGGGCTTCCTGTGTCACCTGGCTCAGTACAACGCTGCAAAGCACTTCTAGCTTTCTAAATAACAAAAATACATCTTGAACTGATATGAGAAAATCTTCCTTTTAAAAACCTCTCAGGCAGTCTGAAAAATGATCTAGTCTACCTATTTTGTCCTAAAGTTTCTATTTGGTCCTACTGGCTATGGTCTTCTGGAAAAAAAAACTTAGGTATTTGAGGTGATGTGGCTTATAACAAACAAAACAAAATAATACAAGTTTAAAACAAAAGAAGTTGTACCAAAAACAAAAAACTGTTGGTGAATATGAGAATGATTAGATGAAGTGGAGATTGTTTTAGCTACACAATAGTAAATGATGAAGAATTTGCCAGAAAGGGTGCCTGTATTGTGAACTGAAGTGATACAAACCCATATGCACACAATCACTCCATTTCACCAAAAATAAAACTAGCGGAGACATCATTCCCATTTAAATAAATATACTTCACATGGCCTCTGAGCTGCAGGGCAAGGAGGTGGGTAGGCGTGTGAGTACCAAAGTCTGAGGTCTGAGCTCTCTCATTACAAAAGCAGTTAACATATATTAGAAAATGAAAGCCTGGGGTGTGCTGCATGTTTTATAACTTTATATTTACACAGTTTGATGGATAGAATAATATCAAACCCTTAACGGTGGTAACCCAAAGTGAATGGCTTCAGAGACAGGAGATAAAATGATAATTTATTTAAATCTCTCTCATATTGTAAATTATACCAATAGGCATGTAGTTATTCGAAGATTTTGCAAATTGAATACAGTAATTAAGAAATATTTTATGATCTGATCTCTTGGACATTCTATTCAATGTTAACTTAGTTATCACAAAGCATGCAAGAGAAGTGTAGGTTCCAGCTGAAACACAGAAATAGTATGTACCAAGATTCCCAACTCATAGGAAGTCAGCATCAAGGGTTAACAGCACTTGCCTTGTCGTAAGAAGAATAGACCACACGTAAATCTGAGGAAAAAGTGGTAGTTAAACATTGAATTAATCATCATTATACAGTCCTTTTATTTATTTATTTATTTAGGTACCGAGTATTGAACTTGGGTCCTTGCGCTTGCGAGGCAGGCCATCAATCCACTGAGCTAAATCCCCAGCCTATGCAGTCCTTTTAAAGTGTTAAAATATCTGCAAGATTTGTACTAGAATAGTGAACAGTATCAACCAACATATCATAATTTAACTAATTAATGTGAGCTATGCCTTACTCAGTGTCTCAGTAGAAATTAGCAATGGCCCCTAAGTTCACCCAGCAAAGATTGAGTGGCTACTTGCTTCTCCAGCACGTTTTATAGCTCATAAACCCTCATATACCTGGCTTCAGCAACCCTTGCTGGAAAAATCAGAACACAATCTTTGTTATCCTCAGATTCCACAAACTATGACTAAAGAAAGGAAATTGAACAGGCACTCACATGCAATCTCTTATTATAGAAATGCTCCAGTAATATTCAGTCCAGGTGGCAAAAAAAGGATGCAAAAATAAGCCATTTCCAACTATTTCATGTCCTCAATACCACTGAGTTTCAAGACAAAGATCCATGTTGACATCTTTCTCAGCAGCTGTCCAATAATCTCAGGGCCAGATTGTTAACAGAAGCATCACCATCCCATTCAGATTAAACTGCTAATGTTCAGTGGTGCCACATGACGTCAAGTGAGTCTGTAAAACGTAATAGTCATTTCAGTGACCCCCCATGTTAAAGCAAGTCATTATTTTGTATTACACCATAACAGCTGCACGTGTTAGAGATACGGGGTGGCTCCAGGATACTCATGTTTTAGCTGATGGCCATGATGCACAGAAAAATGTATTGTCCCCAAAACTCAGCAGTTACCTACATCTCACAAATTCTTCTCACTGATCTGAGGATCAGTGGCACTATTTACTTAATGTTTCCTCTTCAAATAAAAAAAATTAAGTAAAAATCAAAAAAATTGCCATATATCTACAAGAATCAGGAAAAAATATTTTCTAACAGTACAAATGCTAGCAGAAATATGGAGAAACTATAACTTTTTTACTTCGTGCATAAAAACACAAAATGAGTTCAACCATTCAGAAAAAATTCTGCCAGTTTGTTAAAAAGTTAAATATAAATGTATCTATCCTAATAGAAAAATAAAAACTTAAGTTCACACAAAACTTATTTACAAATGCTTACAGCTGCTTTATGAATAATCACCCCAAACCAGAAAACAACTCCAATGCTGTTCAGTTGGGGAACAGATAAACCATGTTACGTTCTACAATGAACTGCCACTAACTA